GCAAAAAAGAAAGACAAAGTGAGGTCTAGAAAGAAAAAAACTGAACGGCTACGTGAAAATAGCGAAGGAAATTGGAGAAACTCGAGAAAAACGTTCTACGCTTTTTTTCGACCCCCTTTTCGCAACATTTGAAGCTAGTGGGCCAATCTATCCTTTCTTTTTCCCCACTTCGGTAAAAGTTTGCACTTTGTGTGGAAAAAGGTGGAGAACCGAGAGAAAAAAAGATGATTTCTTTTCCTTTTTTGTCGTTTTGTGAGGCCCAAGTTCAATCGCTTTTTTCCAATCCTCCTTCGGTGCCAGTGTTGATATTGACCAGAGTTCCGGGATTGAGTTCGATTTTTTGGGCTTCAAAAGAATTCAAATTTTTTAGAATCAATTCTGGGAACTAGATTTTACAGTAAAATAGTGGATTTGCTCTTTTTTTGGGTAATTTTTGATGAGAAAAGAATAAATTGTTGACTTTGAAAGAGACTCAGATTTTTTTTTTAATTTTATGAAATCTTTCATGAATTTGATTTAAAATATTCAAAACATTGAATCGATTTGGTAGAAGAATTTAGGTTTCAATAAAAATTGAATAAATTTGGTTTTAGTATGCAAAAAAAATGTTTCGAAAAGCTTTCGTTTTGTACAAATTTTAAGTCAAAAATTTTGAAAAATGAAAGCTGAAATTTTTAAATGTTTTTCTAGTTAAATCAGTAAATAAAATAGTAAATTGATCAAAAATGGAAAGCTTTTTTAAAAAGAAAAAGACGATCTCAAAAAAATCGATGAAAAAGCAAAAAAAACGACTACTGATTTCCAGGAAAAAGTCCAGTTTCAAGCCAAAAAAGGGAACGCTGTTCCCCCAACACAAAGGGATAAGAAAAAGCTCGAATTCGAAAAGAATGCTCAAAAAACCGGATTCACAAAGATTCTGTAAAAAAAACTGGTGATTCGAGACTATTCTAGTGGAGAAAGAACGGCGTTCGAGTCGGTGCGAGGAGGAGGGGACGGGAGAAGTGCCTGTCTGTGGCGGCCAAAGTGCATGGCGAGGTGGACTGAGCTGAATAGAGCTGAACTGGCGGACGCCCCGAGGCTCCTCTTTACTTCTCTTCCACCAGCCATTTTTTCGGATTGCACTTTCTTTCCCCTTTCTTCCCCTTTCTTTCCCTTTTCCCCTCTCTTCCCCTTCTCCCCTCTCTTCCCCTTCTCCCCTCTCTTCCCCTTTTCCCCTCTCTTCCCCTTTTCACCTTTCTTCCCCTTTTCCCCTTTCTTCCCCTTTTCCCCTTTCCACTGTTCGCAAATCGTCCCACGTTCGCTCGTCTTTTCTCCTTCTTTTCATTGAAAAATCTCTCCGTTTCTATAATATTTCTATTTTTTTGTTCTCTTTGACTCACAATTCCTCTTCTTTCCCTCTTCTTTCCCTCTTCTTTCCCTCTTCTGTTCCTGCTCGCTGCGTTCTCAAGTCCATGCTATTTTCTCTCTTTTCAAAACTAAATTCTTTATTTACCCATTATTTAGCTGTCTTTTTACTCTTTTAGCTCACTACGATTTTTGAAACGATTCTCTTCAACGACATCATCTTTTTCCTTCTCTTCGCTCAAATTTCTCTTCCTTTTTGAAAACCTTTCTCTCCATTCATCCAGTATTTCACTTTTTTAGATTTCTTTACTTTATTTTTCCACTAGCTTGGTCTATAAGTCTTTAGACACTTTTTTCTACTAGCGTTTATAAATGAGAAATTCACAATTAACGTACAACTAGCTCCATTAAAAATACGTACCATTTTTCTATAAAATAACGTTCGAATCTTATGAAAACGTTTTTTCCATAGTTTTTTTATGGGAGCGCAAAGTCGGGTAGTCAAAAAAAGCCGCAAATTAGGTGCTTTAGGTGTTCACAGAAATCTATCTTGGTGTCAATAGAGCTATTTAGGAATATAGTTAGGAATATAGCCGAAATTTTTAGAATAATCTGTTCAGCCGATCTCTTTGTAGAGTTTCTCGAGACGAAAAACGAGTTTTTGCACTTGAATTTGCTTGGAAAAGGATCAAAATTGTGTTAAAAAGATAGAAAAATGACTAATAATGACTTTTTCGACTCTTTTACTTCTTCATCACTGTTTACTCGCTTGTGTTCACCGCATCTTTTTTCCATTTAGCTGACATTGATCTATTGAACATTTATGAAAATCGAAATACTTCATTCATTCAGTATTTCACGTTTTTAGATTCCTTTACTAATTTGCTACCTTTTGAAAGGATTCTTCATCTACAGCCTATTTTTTACCTTTTTCTTCTGTTGTTTCCACCAAATCTCTTTACATTTGTCCGAATTATTCAAATCGAATACATTCTTTAGCCTCTCTGCAATGACCAGTTTAACCAAGTTATCTTTTTTTGTGAATTATGATTTGAACTGATTGCTTTACTGATTAGCAAGAGATAAACTTTGATTATAAATACACAATCATCACAATTACCGGGTGACCCAAAATAACCCGCCCTAATACTCCGTTCTAGGCTCATATTTCTATTATTTGTAAATCAAAACGATTAATTTCTTTTTTAAATGAAAATTCACATCATTTTCTGTATATATTCAAGATTTCATGACCATAGCATCGATAGATAATTTTTTATGAACGCTCAAACGGGGTTTTTTTGTCAAAAAATCCCTCCAACGGGTTATTTTTTTGACCAGTAATTTTTGAGCGTTCATAAAAAATTATCTATCGATGCTATGGTCATGAAATCTTGAATATATACAGAAAATGATGTAAATTTTCATTTAAAAAAGAAATTAATCGTTTTAATTTACAAAGAATAGAAATATGAGCCTAGAACGGACTATTAGGATGGGTTATTTCTGGTCACCTTGTAATGAATGTTCTACAAATAACAGAAATATGAGCTTAGAAAAAAAGAACGCGTTATTTCTGGTCACTCTGTAAATAAGATCTTTGATGGCAACAAAATGTAAAACTCATCCTACTTATTTCCGGTTCTCAGCTTTGAGAGAAAGCTCTTTGAGTCGTCTAAATACAAACATTTATCACGAAAAGGAACACACTTTTAAGCCTTTTTATAAAGTTTTTGCAATAAAGAAAAAGTTTGATGAGATTGATGAGAGGAAGGGTAATTCCTGGTCAATGAGCTATCAGTTTGTAAGCATTGATGTTAAGTTGTGCTAAACTTTAAGCTCCAACTTACAGAACAAGGGAATTTCTGCAAAAAGTAAGTCCGATATAAGCTCCAACTCTGAGCGCTGAAAGAATTTATTAAAATTATCATAAAATTCAACTAAATAAGTTCAATAATACGAGTTTCAAAGATAAAAAACTTTCTGAGAGTCTAAAATTCGTTTTGGACCGCTTTCAAATAAAATCTACCTCTTCGGATACAAATAAAACTATGAAGCCATTTGAAAAATTGTATTATCAAGAAGTTATTCTAATCTTTTAAGTGTTAGATAATTAAAAAATAAAAAAATATTAAATGGATTAATATTTTCGATAAGATCATCGATAAAGGAACCCTTAAATTTGAGTTGCGGCTCGTTAGTTTTTTGACCAGCTATTTTTAAGCGTACATAAAAAATTATCTATCAATGCTATGATCATGAAATCTTGAGCATGTACAGAAAATGATATGAATTTTCATTTAAAAAATAAATTAATCGTTTTGATCTACAAATAATATTAGGTTGATGCATAAGTCTTTTCGTTTTTTTCGTACTTCTGTTAAAAAGTAACAAATTCACCAATTAATCTATAGTTTGCTCTATAAAAAAAGTGTTTTTTTGTTCAATTTCCATCTTTTTAAATCAATTTCGGTTCACTTTCAAGCAAATTCGAGAGTGAAAAACGCCTTTTTCGTAAAAATCTGTAAAAAACTCTACGGAAAAATTGGCTGAATGAATTTCTCTGAAATTTTGGCGAAATATCAAACTTTTTTTTCTCTATCTTTTATCTATTGACACGAAGATAGGTTTTCTTTAGCTAAGGTGTCTAAACCGCATCATCGAGTTAGCCCTTTTTGACTACCCGACTTCATACTCTCAAGAAAATCCAGGCATTAAATATTTTTAAACCCGTTTTAATGTTATTTTGCAGAAAAATAATTGGTTTTTCTAATGAAATCAACCGTAGTTTAATTGGTGCATTTGTTGGCTTGAAACGGCAGACGAAAAGGAACAAAAAGACTTATGCATCAACCTAATAGAAATATGAGCCTTGAAAAAAAGGACGTGTTATTTCTGGTCACCCTGTAGTGTTGCGCTTGATGCATCTTTTTGGCATCATAAAATCTACGTGGAATTTTACATAGAATAGAAGAATCGTAACATTTTTTTAATAACTTTGGCAACTCTAGCCGAGGAGTACAAAAAATGCTATGCTATGATGCTGAAAAACAGTTAAATTCGAGTTTTAGGTCTCTAAAAAATTGTCTTTTTCTGCATTAATACGTTTTTAGAGTTACCGTAAATACTGTAATAGTACCCCACCTCCTCGTACAGTCGCGTAGTCGCAAAACTTTTTTAGTATTTCATTTTTTTCAAAGCGCACGTACTTTCAAAAAAATGCGTCTTTGGTATCAAAAAATAGCTGAAACTAAGGGCTATTTTTTGATGCCTAAGCGCGCATTGTAGCATAAACCAGTGTCGAGAAAAACTCGTTCAAAGCTAAACTACGCAACGCTCCGCACCGTCATTATGGGCTTTTTTAAAGATTACGGGGTACTATTACAGTATTTAAGGTAAGTAAAACTGTGATTTCTTTAAGTAACAAAAAGTTTTTGGCTTTGCGTTTTTGGTGTTTTTTGGTGTGTAACGTAAACTTTTAGACAAAAAGATTTTGACTAAAAGTTCCTCAAAAAAACATTTCTTTTGCGGTGCGCGTAAAATGACTAACAAAACATCTTTTAAGAAATATATGAAAGAAATGCTAGAGCTTGGGTATAAAATAAAAGCATAGAATCAGCAGGGCATTCAACTTTGTTCAGTTCTACTATTCCAAAATGAAGCTCTGCATTGGACTCATCGCTTCGGTGGCCTTGATATTGGCTGAGCCAAAGCCAAACGGATACGCTTCAATGGGAAACCAAATTCCCCCAATCCTCCCATATGTGATGCCAATGCCCTCGACGGGATACGCTCAACAAGAAGGATACGCTGTGAGTGATTGAGCGAGACTGGTAGCTTTGATTTGATAACTAAAGAATATAAGTTAGATGAAGTATAAGATCCTCTTTCTAAAACTTTGAGAGTTCTTGAACTTCAAGTTCTTTGTCTTGTAAACAAGGTTGAGGTTGGAAAACCTGATACAAGATCGTTACGGCGGAGGTTACGCAGCTCTCGTTGCTGCCCGAATGCTTCGCTAAGACTTCGCTAAGACTTCGCTAAGACTTCGCTAAGACTTCGCTAAGACTTCGCTAAGACTTCGCTAAGACTCATCTTGCTCTTACTTGCTTGCTCAACTCATCTCAATCTCGTCTTTCGCTTTTTTTGAATAAATTTTATTTCAATCAATATTATAAGTTTAAAGTCGTTTAAAGTCGTTCTTTTGGAAAACAATAGAAATAACAGCTAGAAGAAAAAAGAGAGACGATTTCAGTCTTCGTCAAAGAGATCAGTTCGGTGTCGCCAGTCGACTTCGGGGTGCCAAAGATCGATCACAAGCACTAGTCTAAATGTTGATGAACATGAAAACAGCATAATAATATTTTAAGGATTGAAAATCTACAAATCGGTTTAGTTAGTTGGAACTAGAGCAGATAACTAGAGAAGCAAAACTTGTGCGCCGCAGGGACTCGAACCCGCTACCTTTCGCTTACCGGGCAACTGTACTAACCATTACATTACAACGCACTTGATATCCCTTACTCCAGAGGAAGTTAACTAGTTTAGTACAGAGCACTTTTACAGATATAAATCACGGTACAGATCACTTTTCGCAGAGCTTAAAAGTGCTAAAGATTTCTTGTGACTTTTGCTTTCAAACTCAAAGTTTACCTAAACTTTGGAACTTCTAAAGAAAGCTTGGTTTTCAAACCTGAAAGCTGATGAGGAGGCTCCAGCGAAAGAGAGCTCATGCTCGAAAGAATCATCGAAAACGATAAAACGACCCGTTCGCCAGCCTCTCCTTTCAGTGCCAACGCTGAATTCAATTCTATCATTATCTTAGCCATTTCTTCTTTCTTCTGAATCATTATCTTAGCAGTTTTCTTAACAAACCGAATCCTGGCTTCTGATGGGACAACTAGCCCCAAATGGGCTTGCAATTTGCAATTCGTTGGTCCACAATGGGGAAGAACGCGAGTGCCAGAGGAGAGCACAGAGATTTTCATCTAAAAAATTTGAAACTAGCAACAAATTTTGCTCTATTCCGTTAATTGCTTTGTTTTGCTTCAAGCTTTAAAGCTGTAAAAGCTTTAAAGCTGGATTTCCGATATCCGTCATTGTTTTTAAGAAAATATATCAAGTTTTACATGTAGTCCTGAATATTTCAGCCAGTTTTCGTTTTTGAGAGATGTATTTGTGGCAGAAATACAGTCAAATTTAAGGCAAAAATTGATCTCAAAGATTTAAGCATAATTTGCATTATAGATGGAGTAATGAGCAATGGATTTAGCTGTAAATTTGTAGTGTTTGGACTAAGGTAACTTTAATTAAAATTGGCTTTGGCTTTGGCCTAACAAATCTAACAATAACAATATAACAAGTCAAATCTCTAACAATTGTTTAAAGTTTCCAAAATATGATATAATCATTTGACAAAATGTTCTTTCGATTTCGTTCTATTTCAACTCACAGCTGATCGACTCGCGTTGCTTGATTCGCGGAATTCTCGTAGAATTGCACATGTTTGTGGAACGATCTCGCAATTCTCCTAAACAACTTTTTTCTCAAAGTTTTTTTAAAACCTCTTTCAAACAATGTATTGGGTTGGTGAATTGAAAACTGCCGGACTTTGAACTAAAATTTATTCAACATAAATCCATCAATTCATTTCAAATATATTCCATTATTATTGACGACTTCTGCCCATTTTACAGGCAATTTGCGGATTCCTCTTTCGTAGGATTTTGGTTTGTGTGTGAGACAAGTGTGAGACTCAAAAATGGAGGACTGGAGATGTCTCAGTTTGAGCACTTTCTTCAAAAGAAACCCATTTTGATGTCAATAGAAAAGTTGTAGAGAATCATAAATTAGGCTTATAGCCAAATCTCCAAAAAGATACACTTAGTAGTTTCGCTTAAAATGCAAGTTTTGTGAAAATTCGTAAATTTGGCATTTCTTGAAAACCAGTTTTTGAATCGTTCTGAAAATTTGGATATAAGCTTGATTTTTGATTCTCTACAACTTTTCCATTGACACCAAAATGGGTTTCTTTTGAAGAAAGTGCTCAAACTGTCACATATGACAATAGCCGGCAGTTTTCAATTCACCAACCCAATATTTACCAAAGGAAATTCTCAACTTACCATGACTACTTTTGAAAAGCTTGATGCTGTTCAATAGACTGAAAATTTAGATTCTAATGCTAAACTGGGACATATGACAATAGCCGGCAGTTTTCAATTCACCAACCCAATGATATTGCGGATATTAGCTTTAAGTTGAGAGATTTTCTTCTCACTTACCTCTTCCCATTCCTCGTTCTTCAACAACCAAAGCGCTCTCCAGTCACCATCCACTGTGATCGCTTTGTTTTCACGCTAAAATGAGCAAATTTTAAAATTTATTTAGTTTTGTGCATCACCATGTATAAAGCAATTTTACGAAATTGAAACTTAATCAAATAAAGCTATCACCTCAAAGTAATCCGAGTGTTTCTCTAATGCAACGAGAGCTTCGTGTCTGATTGCCACCCATTGCCTTTCGACTGCCTGCAAAAATTCTAATTTTTGGAAGAATGAGATTCAATTTCTATTCTATTGTTTTAAACGCAATTTTGTCGACTTTGCCTTAATCAATCAAAGTTTTCAAAAAGCCACGCATTCAGTTTACCCAAGTACCGAACCGTTTAAGTTATGCCTCATGTTGACCGGAAAGTCTTGTCCGCTTTTTTAAAGGTTATTTCTTGAAAATAATAATGAGCCAATCAATCTATCGTTTATTTGACAAGAAAATCCTATTATTTATTTACAAATTGTTCTTTAAGAAATTCCAAAAAGCTTGCGTTAGTTAATTTTTTTAAAGGTGCGAAGCCGAGCAGTCAAAAACGATGAAACCGATTTCGATTTTCGATTTGATTCCGATTTGAGCATCTTTTGTCAGAGAAACCTATTTTGGTGTTAAAAGACAAAAGATAGAGCATAAAAAGTTAGGCATATAGGCTAATTTTCATAATATTTCGCCAAGCCGTTTTCATTCTATGTTGGATTTTGGGAAACGAAGAATTCCCGTTCGGATTTGCTTCAAAGTGGACTCAAATTTGCCTAAAAAATGAGCTAAATGAGCTAAATGAAATAGTTAATCTTTTTTATTTAAAGCAAATGACACATTGATCGGCTCTCTCAATCTATGAGGTATTTATAAACAAAGATTTCAAAAAGGTGAACAAGACTTTCCGGCCAAACCAATAGAAGTGTCATTGTCATTTCACTGACCCAATCAACGATCGTTATCCGCTTGCATCGTTGCGGGAATTTCTGTTGCAAATGGCGGACCGTCACGGCTACATTGTCACGTTAATCGGCTAATTATCTACTACCGTATTTTCTCTAGTAGTAGTGCACCCCGGCGAGCCGAGTTGGTGACTATTTACGGCTTTCAAAGTTTTCCCAGAAGCTCAACACTCAAATCCCCCACAAGACCTCATCGTCAGCTACATTTTCCGGTCCCACATCGATAGGTTCTGATAAGCGCTTCTCGAGATTTCGAGCAATTTAGGCGACGCTCAGGGTGCACTACTATTAGAGAAAATACGGTAAATATAAAAAAAGCTGTGTCTATCTGTCTCTACTCCTCTGCGCACAGTGGGCCGTTTCAAATGATTTATAGTTAGTTTGGCTTAGAATTCCATGTAGTTGTGCAGCACATATTTTGTTTTTTAAAAAGCCAAAGTCATGACACAGCCCGGAGTCGAACCCAGTTCGTGTGGGCCGTAGACAAGCGCGCTCGCGACTGCGCCACGTCAGCCCAAAGCACGAAGCCAGAAAAACTCGCAGTTAGGCGGGTTTTTCGGCTCTTTTCTAATAACCTTTCAATACCGACTTTACACGTTACACAACTCTAGTTAATTTTTAAAAAACCAAAAGTGCCGACGCGGGCGGGAGTCGAACCCGGGTCGTCTGGGCTTTTACTTAAATTATGGTTCAATGTAAATATTTGGTAATTTGATATACTGTAGTGCGGCCAAACACTAAGATGGGCTAGCGTCTTTTAAAAAACGCATACTTGTTCATTTATAAACGAAGATTTCAAAAAGATGGAGAAGACTTTCCGGCCAAACCAATACAAACGCTTTTTGGTCTTTTTCTTTGAGCTCTCTTTTACCTTTCAATTTCAATATCCAAATTTTTGTCTTCCAAAACGAACCCTGAGAGATTTTGTGTAACTCGTCTGCTCCAATGTCCACCAAGGTCTCCCCGTCAACCCTTCCACATTGTACATGCTCCTTTGATGAGCCGAAAGGAACAAACCAAGCTCGGAGCCTTGTTCATAGACCTAAATTTGTAAAATTAACATAGTGCAGCTACTTGATAGATTAGAATCTATTAAAGAAGACTGGGAAACCGTTTAACGCACTTTGTAAGCATCGACAGGTCGCCCAAGTTGCATCAAGCCGTCACCGAGGTGGTAGTAGAATCTAAAAGTTGATCGGACAATGATAAAAAACTTTTATAATATGCTATAATCTTTCAATCATTACTTTGGATCCGTAATCTGATCTCCTCCTCTAATCAATCCTTTCCTCATCAAGTGAACTCCGCCTTCGAGATCTCTATCGGCAACCTGAAAACGATGATCGGTTTTGAAAGGTTATTAGAAACGAGCCGAAAAACCCGCCTAACTACGAGTTTTTCTGGCTTGGTGCTTTGGGGTAACGTGGCGCAGTCGCGAGCGCGCTTGTCTACGGCCCACACGAACTAGGTTCGACTCGCGGCTGTGCCATGAATTTTGGTTTTAAAAAAAAAGAAATATGAGATGCACAACTACATCAAATTTCAAGCCTAACAAACCAAAAATCATGTAAATCGAACGCACGAAGAGCCGAGTACTCACGCCTACAGACAGACGGACGGACAGACACTGCTCTTTTATATAGTAGATTTGAAATGCTGGCACGTTTCGTTATTCTTGCAGAATTGGATCAAGATTCTGGGATAGAAATAAGTCAAAACTAAATCCGAACTCTAAGCTTGTAATGTGCAAGTGGAGACAACCACTATCATTGTAATGTTCAAAATCACTTACCTTCAAAATATACCCGTAATAAGCAAGTGCTAAGGCGTTGTTTGGATCCTCATCAAGAACCTAAGCAAAGATTTCAATTAGTCAGCCTTTAAACTCACATTTCGGAAAACTTTTCTAGCATCATCGTGTCGTTTCATCATGAGGAAAGTGAGCCCAAAATCAGTCTAAAACTTTTTTTTTGATAATTTCTGTTATAATGACTACATTTTGATAGCTTTTGATAGCTTTTGATAGCTCTAATTTTTGATAGCTCTTGATAACTTTTGCCAATTACCTGATGTTTCTTTTCATCCGGAAAACGATCGATTAGGCTCCTTTGCGCATTCAACGCTTGATGCATTTTCCCTCGATATCGTGATCGTTCAACTACTCGAGAGGCTGCTTGTCTAAAAGTTTTAGGTTGAAAACGGAAGGATAACGTCTTAATCTCTTAACCTGACTTCAGATCTAAATCTATTTGCAAAAAAAGCATCAAAGTTTACTGGTTTCCTTGACAAAACTTGCCTCTTTCAGTAATTCTAGCAGACAAATTTCATTCTTTAAATTTGGTTCCCTATCTCTTTAAATTTGGTTCCCTAAATTTGGTTCTCCTAATATTTCATTTATGTAATCAAATATAGCTGAAATTCGGCCATTTTGTTGATTAAGGCTTAATATCTTTATTACTTTAAATTTTGAAAAAAGAAATTAAGAGAAAAACATTTGGTTAAAAATAAAAGTACTTTTGCTTATAAAGAAAACAAATAAATGGTTCCTAACGGTTCAAACGATTGGATAAACAGACTTATTACATTCAAGAGACTTTGAAAAAGACAAACAGCTGAATGTGCTCTAAGTAGTCAAGTAATCATTTCAGATACTTTGTGGACCCCACAAAGTGCTCCCTACAATACTCAAAGTGTCAAGGCTTGGGGAACTTTGAAAGGTTCTATTAAACATTTGTGTAAAACCACTCAAGATTTTCTTCCATTTTATATGTTTGAGTACATGTTTCGAAGAGCTCACTCAGTTGATTGTCTTTGAAAGTCTCTTGAATGAAATAAGCCTCGTTTATCCAATCGTTTGAACAGTTTACGGCTATGGACCCTTTCTTGGTTTTATTTATAAACAGAAGTACTTTTAACCAAATATTCTTCTTTTAATTTCTTTTTTCAAAATGCAAAATAATAGATATCAAACCTTAATTAGCGAAATGATCGGATTTCAGCCAAGAGTCGAATCTTGTCATAATATTGGCAAGATATAAGATTCTTTAGAAAGTCGGCATTGCGATATCGTACCTAAAGAGTGCATCGGGTGTATCATCATTCTCAATCACTTCCTCGTACTCTTCCAGCGCCAAATCGACATCGGAGTCCTCGGCGTGCATTTCAGCTCTAAATTTTGAATGTATCTAAACTTCTAAATAATCCAGTACTTCTAATAAACTTCTTAGCACATTTACGACGATCTGACCAACCGGTCGTTTGTACTAATTTGTACTAATGTACTAATTGTACGTTTGGTCGTTTGTACGATTGTTCCTGGTGCTAACCAAGTTTTTGAGGGTTTTCTCGTTCATTTCACGGAAAGTTCTCAGTAACTTTGTACTAATTTTCAAGAGGAGATTCAGGGCTATCGAATGACTATAATAGTTTAGTCTATCTTTGAATTTTCACCAAACTATTTGTAAAAAAGTTAACAACTACGCGACTGTACGCAGAAAATGCGGTCATTGCAAATGTGTTAAACATAGAAATGAAATATCAATATCATAGCAGTTTACCTGATATCATAAGCTCGTCCCTTCCCGAAATGAGCTCTCGGCGAATCCGGATAAATTTTCAATACTTGATTGAATAGCTTGATCGCCTCGTCATACTCATGCTGAAAATATTTGCAAACTGAATACCTAGATAATTCACAACTCTTCTTGTAACCTGTTAGTTTGATAAAATGCAATTTTCTCATCAACAAACTGATAGAACATTTATTTGTGGACAATCGAGAATACAAATTACAAAAAAAATTAGCCAAAATCGCCCAGCAAAAGCAAAATGATTAATGGAAAAAATAAGAAACCCGCATTCGCAACTAGATATTAAGAGAGTACACCGTGAAACAAAATCATATGATGACACTTGAAATGAGAAATTTTGTCATGCAAAACACAAAATTTGGTTAATTCAAGCTTGCGAGAGAAGTGAGGTGAAAACGAAAGGCTTTTTGGGGGTTTGGCTTTGTTTAGAATAAGCTATTTATGACCAAAAGCTTTTTGAAACCTTAAGCCTCACTACTAACTAGACCTGCTTAACGAGACTGGGAAAAATTTTCAGACAGTCTGCCTCGCTCTTCGACTTTTTACTGCCCAAAGCTCCGTCGAGCATGAAACCCAGTTCCCCCGCAAGCCCTTCTATGCTCCATTTTCATAGTAAACATGTCTAGGTTTTGTCTTTCTTTAGATTTCGATCAATCTTTTGCCAGACTCGATAAGCTCAACGAGTCCAGAAAAATTTTATCTAAAAGGATCGGAATCTAAAGAATGACAAAACAGAACCTAGCCATGTTTAGTATCAAAATGAAGCCTAAAATAAGGGCTTGCGGGGGAACTGGGTTTCATGCTCGAAGGAGCTTTGGGCAGTAAAAAAAAATCGAAGAGTGAGACATACTGTCTGAAAATTTGGCCCAGACTCGTTAAGCAAGCCTATCGTATAGTCTTACCTAGAAAATCATTTTTATCTCAGCTTCTAGATTTTTCCGAACTAAACTTTTGATACCAAAAAAAGGACTGATTTCAAGAGCTATCATTTGATACCCAAGCGCAAACTTTAGCATAAAGCAGCGCGAAGAACGAGACGTTCAAAGTTAGACTAATTTTTCTTTTTTTCTCTGGACTCGTTAAGCTTATCGAGTCTGGCGAAAGATTGATCGAAATCTAAAGAATGGAAAAAAAACCTAGCCATGTTTAGTATCAAAATGGAGCATAGAATAAGGGCTTGCAGGGGAACTGGGTTTCATGCTCAAAGGAGCTTTGGGTAGTAAAAAATCGAAGGGCGAGGCAGACTGTCTGAAAATTATTCCCGGACTCCTTAAGCAGGTTTACTAATAACTATGATTGAGCTACTCACTTTCTAAAAATGGATAATTTGGAAAGATATCGTAGTCCGCTCTACTTAATTTTGATCCCATTTAATTTACATTTTAATGAGACCAAAATTAAGACAAACGGATAAAAACTGGAGGAAAGATTCGGTAGTTTTATAAATATCTTTTTAGAAAATCAAAATCAGACCGAGCTACAAACTCAGTATCTTATCTCTTTATTGTATGGCGAGATACCGTATTCTCTCTAATAGTAGTGCGCACTACTATTTTTTCAACCCCCTCCTGGACCGCAATACTATTAGAGAGTGCACTACTATTCGAGAGAATGCGGTAGTTCAAGTGCCTTCAAATGTAAAATATCTTCTTTGCTATAAGGGACAAAACTGATATCTAAAATAATATATAATCTAAAACTAAAATATTGTTAAACCGAGCCTTGAATCAATTCTCCTCGATGAAGCCTTTCGTTTTGTGAACATAAACAACTAATCACTCGGTAAGAAAGCTTTCCAAATGATAACTATATTTTCCTACAATTCCTGTTTTCTTCTACGATGTCTGCGAACCTTTTCCACTAAGTGATCGGCTTGATCGAGAGCTTCTCGGTGTTTGTGATCGTCTCGGTTTGTGATTGCATGCCGTTTATAGGCTTCACGACCCATTGATCTAAAGTTATTGGTCTAGTCTAGCAAAGAAAACTTGAAATGATCAAGTAGTGTTGGGTCAAATTAACCGGACAAGAAACTTGTATGAATCTGCTTCGTAAATCGTTCCATAAAACTCCTATAATTCTTTTTCTATAAGCTCTTAATTATCTTCGAAAAAAGTAGGCAAATTTTTCTAGTCTTAATATAGTTTTTTCTCGAGCTTTTTCAGACACCAAAAAAAGCGCTGAAAAGGGGGGAAATAAAGCCAGGATCAATTTTACCCGATGGTTTGTGTTTCGAAAGAAAAGTTGGCCAACGAATTTTTCTTTCCAGTAATCTTCTCATAGGTTAAGGAATGAATAAATTTATATTATATAGAAAATTATACGATTAAGCTGGCTGGCTGCAAAGTTACAATAAAGAACTCTTGTCCGGGTAATTTTGCCCAACCCTGTAGTTAAGTAAAACTTGTGATCATCTAGATTGTGATTGTCCTTTGTGTTATGGGTATTTCCTTCTCTTTCTTCCTCTTCCTTGTCTTTACTATTTTCTTCTTGGACAAAGAAGGCGATAGCTCAGTGGTAGAGCCACTGCCCGGGAAGCAGAAGGTCGAGGGTTCAATTTTCCTCGATTCAAAATTCTTTGCCATTCATTTCTTTACCTGTATTTCTTGATAGCAATCACTTCAGCAATTGGTGGTTGTTCATCGTCATCGTCATCATCTTGCTCATCGTCGCTTTCTGAAATTTTAATGTTTTTAAATAAACCCTTAGATTGATACTCCCAGTGTTTAAGCCATATTTAACTGTAAATTTGTGTCAGCCTTTAATCCAAAAAAACGTTATAAACCTTCTTCCTCTTCAGCTTCAGCCTCTGGATTTTCCTCTTCAACAAAATATTGATACCGCTTTCCAGATCCAGAAGCAGTCTATAAATGGAATTTTTTATGTTTAACAATATATTTTCCGACCTTGCTCTTTAATAAACCCTTCCTTGGCTCCTTTCCAAAGTCGGTCGGACAGTTCTTGCGCAGACACGGCCTTTTCGGGGCATCGTCGGTGATGTGGGCGGTTTTCAGTCTCTAAAATGATCCTTGACTAACAAAGCTCAGAAAATCTAACTAGGGAAAAGCATGAACTCAAGGTGAGCTTTTGTCTGGACACCTAGTGCATTTTATAGAATCGGATATGAGGAATCTGAATCTGAAATGCAATCTGAATCTGAAATGCAATCTGAATCTGAAATGCAATCTGAATCAAAATAATGCAATTACCGTAAATACTCTAAAAGAAGCGCATGCGCTTCTAATTTTTCCCTGTCCTTTTTCGGACTTCCCAAAAAATCAAATAAGGGGGGACCATCTACAATTTTTTTAAAAAAATGTTTTAAAATCACTCCAGCTCGATTGGAAATGCTCTAAAAAAAATTAAAAACATGTTTAAAACAAGAAAATCTTTTTCAACCTTGACCCCTGGAGGTCCCTGGAAAATGATAAGGGTCCCCATTTACAATTTTTTCGAAACAGTATTTTTTTTTTGGATCCTTTTAAATTTGGCTGCCAACCCTTCTAGGTTATACATATGGCCCATATACACCATTCTAAGCTTTTTCAGCGAAACTCTTTTTCAAAAGTAGTGACTTTTTGGGCGATCAATTTTGTATGGGGAGGGTGCGCTTTTATTAGAGTATTTACGGTAGCTGCAAGATGCTAGAAGCTGCGTCAGGGACTGAACTCTGACCCTGTGGACGGAAGCCTAATGTGCTATCCACTAGGCCGCCAACACAGCTTTTCCGCTAGGAAGGAGCCTCTTAAAGCATCCGTTTCGACGCCAAATTTTCGATTAAGGCTTTAAACGCTTGGAAAGTCATTTGGCAGATTTGATTTCAGTTCGGATTCCTCATACCCGATTCTATAAAGTGCACTAGGTGCGCAGACCAAAGCTCACTTTGAGTTCGTGCCTTTTCCTAGTAAGTATGTAGGTCTTTCAGCTTACTGGTCTTGTTGGTTCTTCAACGACGCCTCGAGATCGTTTGAATTTTGAGATCTGTTCTCGTTCAGGCTCGTCATCTACCTCTTCTTTTTCATCTTTTTCCTCTTCTTCTGGCTCAGATTCGGGTTCAGGTTCAGGTTCCTGAAGTTGTTAAGCTATGTAGAACCAGATAAACTAATGAATGTGCATCTAGGCTAGTTTTAAGGAAGCCAGATTATCTAATACGGAGTTCTCAACTGCTGAATACAGGGCTGCTTTCAGCTCTAAGCTCTGCTCGTTTTCTTGATTTCGAAGTTTGACCTGTATCGGTTTGGCTTGGCCTTGATGTTGGTCTAAGAACAGTCTGGAGGCCCGTGAATAAAACTTACTTTTAGTTAGCCCAAATTTTTATTTAAAACTATAAGCATTCCAAACCACAAACCTTTTCTTTCTCCTTTCCCTTCTCCTTCTTTTCTTCCATCTTTTCAACTGGTTTTTCATCTCCTTCCCCTTCATCATCATCCTCATCATCATTGTCTTCATCATCGTCATCATCACCATTCTTTCTTGTCTGAAAAGTTGAAATTGAAATTGACAGTTTTAAACCAAATGAAACGCACTTTCTTGTGATCAACTTCATCATCGTCATCATCGTCATCATCTCCAATCATCTCTTCTCTTCTCGTTCTTGGATTCCACCTCAATTGTTGAACTTTCTTCTTTGGGGTCTAGAAATTGAAAGATGATTACAACTTTGTCACTTGGACAAACATTTCAAAATCAAGTTTGATAAGGTTAGATTTAAAGCTTATTGTTAGGTTTCTAAAGTTTTAAATCAGCGAGATGTTGCAGATTTCTACATTCAGCTACTCACTTCTTTCTCTTGTTCCTCTTCCTCATCATCATCCTCATCCACTACCCGTTTTGCCACTTTCTTCAACCCTCTTGATGTTTTTTCTGGCTGTTTTGGTTGCTCCTGAAGTTCGACTAGTTTTCATCTTCTTTAACCCCAACCTCTTCCTCATCTTTTCCTTTCTCAGCCTCAGCTCTCTTCTTGTTTCGTCGTCCTCTTCTTTGTTGTGCTGGTTGTTCATCATCATCGTCCCCGTCATCATTGTTGGTTGATCTAGAATCAAAATAACGTATTTATTCCAATTGAAGAACTTTTTATTAGAAAAGCCCCCTTTAGACGAAATTTTTCATCTTTTTCAAATTTGTCAACTCTCGTAAAGACTTCCAAAGGTTTTAAATAATAGTTATAAACCAAAAAAGCTTAATGACGTCGAAAACCGGATGAAAATCCTCATTTTTAAACAAAAGCGCCCATTTTTGAGCTCTTGAAAATTTGGGTATGTAGCTAGGGCAGGATAAAGAATTTTAGAAGAACATTGAAAAATAGAAGAGTTGGCTTGCTTGAAAATTTGGGTATACTATAGCTAGGGGATGAAAAAAGCTTTTAGAGGGACATTGGAAAATAGAAGAGCCGGCTTTTCTATTAGAATTTTTACGGTAGATTTTCAATTCAACTAAAACTATAACTTTATGAGTTTAGTTTTCATTTTTTGTTTAGCCACTTTTATTATCTTTGAGATCATGCCCGTTATCAGTTAATGGATAATAAGCTTTAAAAATTTGGCAATTAGCAGTCTATAAGTGTTTTTGTTTTAAATCATGACATTTACAAAACTGTGCTTACTTCTTGACAAAGTTCTTCAGCTTTTGCATCTTTGCTCGCAATCCGGCAAAGAGCTTCTCCTCAAGAGTCGTTTCCACATATTCCGCTTCGTCATCATCAGCTGAAAATTCTTTTTTTCACTTCTTTTAATGTTTAAATCAAAATTCTTTCAACATTTAAAGCTGGCAAAAGGATATTTTAAAAAAATTACCCGTATCTATCTCATCTTTGGGTACTTTCACCTCATTTCTCTTGTCATGACCGCCGTGATCGTCGTTTGTTGGGGTTGTATCCTGAAAAATTGCGTCTTATTTACGACATAATTTTGAACTTTAGGCCCTAATCAAAACTTAATCTTAATCTCCAAAGCCTCCAAAGCCGCCATGGCTATGAATCCTGTATCCTAATCGAGATGTCAAGGGTTCAATCCCGCCGGCCGGATTATTGGTTCTTTTTCCCATATATCTGGGTTTTTCTTGGCTACATTTAGGACTTGGGAATTGTGCTTGTGTATCCTTTGTACCACATTATTCGTGTCAATAAACGGATTTTAAAAAAAGCGCTTCACCAACTTTCAATGCATGTCTCTGTTGTGCGGCCACCTCATCGACTTCGTCGACTTCGTGATCCAAATCCATATCACCATCACCATCAAAATCTAAAAATTCATGAAAAATATCATAAATATTCGTTTTCCATATGTTTAATAATTATTCTTCAAAATCACCCACCTACACCTAGTTCTGCAACTTCTTTTGCGGAGAAAACCGTGTAAAGACTCGAGCAAAGGAACATAAAAACGAGCAACACCGCCCAAGTTCGAGCACCGCCCTAAAATTCTTGTGAATTATTCAGCCCTTTTAATTATAATAGAATGAGCTTTTTAACGTAAATAACTCAAAAGTTATTCGAAAAAGTCCTAATGCCTTAAAACTGTACTAACGTATTACGGTTCTGAACATCCAAATGCTGGGTCGAAATTGCTAAACTGCTAAATCTTTTAACCCAAAAACACTAATTCCAAATAAGAGAAATAACGAGAGAAATAACAAGAGGATTCGCGGCTGGGTCAGATTGAATGGCGTTTATAAAAAAAGATGTTTAGATTTTTAGATTTTTAATAACTTTATCGGTGATCTGAAAGACACAGGTCCGAAGACCAGCAAAGCGGAAAGAACTGCGAGAAGTATAAAAACTTTAACAATTTTTAAAAGAAACATGGAACGAGGGGTAGAAACAATAAAAGGATGAGGAAAATTTTAATAAACAATACCAATAAACAATATCAATAAACAATATCAATAAACGATAAACAACAATTTAATTCAATAAACAGAATTTTAGGGAGTGGGACAAATGCGACCTTTTTTTGCGCACCTGGACATTTGCGCACCTTTTTTTCCACACCTTGCCCATTAGCGCACCTTTTTTCGCGTTTTAAAAAAGCTCTAAAAAGCTAATATTAACCAATTTCTATTCCGAAAGTTGTTTTTCTAGGTAATTCTAGGGCGTAGAATCGAAATTTTGGCATATCAGAGCTTGTGGAAGCGAACGGACGGAGTTATACAAAGAGAAAAATCGCCAATTTTCTGTAATTTTGATCTAGCCGTTTTTTCTTTCAAATTGGTTCCACACGCTCTGTTATATCAAAATTTGAATTCGACACCCTCAAAATACCTAGAAAAACAACTTTTGGAATAGAAATTGGTTAATATTAGCTTTTTAGAGCTTTTTAAAACGCGAAAAAGGTGCGCTAATGGGCTAAGTGCGGAAAAAGAGGTGCGCAAATGTCCAGGTGCGCAAGAAAAAGGTCGCATTTGTCCCACTCCCGAATTTTATAAAGGGATAGAGAAAGGGGAACATAAAAACGCAAAAAGACACGGCGAAGGGAAACAATTCTTTAAAAGAATGATTTTGAAGGGAAAGGGAGACGCCGTCTCGAGGACGGTAGCTTAGGTGCATTTTAGCATTTAGATTTCGAAAGTTGCCAAACCGTACTCGAACTGCGGGAAATGGGATTTTACTCTGTTTAACAGAACTCTTTACTGGATAAACCTTTTAACATATTTCGAATAAATTTTTGAGTACACTTGCATTTATGAATCAATTTTTAGCTTTTTAAGATCTCATTGTAAAGATTTTTTTACTTTAATTTACTTTAAATTTAACTTTAACTTTACTTTTATTTTAAACTTCAAAAATTTACTGAATTTACTCACCTTTGTAACACTGTAATCTACCCGTTGTGGAGCCAAGGCCACTGTCATTGGGTGTTGACCACCGGCAACTAAAATTTGAAAAGTAAAGTGCTTGAATTCTTTTACGCAACGTAAATTTTGTGCTATTCTTTTTAAATATTCGAAAAAATAGAATTTTGACCAAAGCTGAATCCCCAAAACCCTTAAAAACCTACAACCGTTGCTGGAATTATAGCAAATCTGGCAATACATCCTTCCAGAGGGATGTCCTCAATTATATGAGGATTCGCAAAAAAAAGAAATGATGATTTAGAAAAATGAATGAATGAAGGAAAAGAATTCGGAAAGTGTGGGATTTCCTGACCTCTTCCCCTTTTTTCTTCTTTTCTGCGTCTCAGTTTTCACGCGAATAAATATTTGCGACTGGGTGGACTGAAGAAAAGATTTTGACACGGCAAAACTTTTGCATTTCAAATGTCAAATAATTAAATCTTTAAAAGATTGGCATTATAAGTTAGTTATAATCTTGTACTTTAGTTTTTATTCTAAAAATAAATACCTAAGAATCATGCTGTGACCGTATTTCCTCTAATAAACGTCCCCCTTTCTCGATCAACTTTAGACGCCTCGTTCTCAGCCCCATTTTGAGATACTTTTATGTTTAATATACCAAAAAATAGCCCTTAATGTCTTCTATCTTCTGGTATATTAAACATAAAAGTATCTCAAAATGTGACTGAGAACGAGGCGTCTAAAGTTGGTCGAGGAAATGCGAAGTTTATTAGAGAAAATACGGTAAGGAAAAATAATGTAACTGGTTTTTAACTGCTTCAAAGTTTCTTCTAAATTGTTGAGAAAAAAATCTGAATCCTACAACATTCTGCATATCTTTTGCCCTAAAATTTTTGTCGGCTTTGAACAAAATATTAACAATCACTTTTTGTCGATCCAAAATGAATCAAAAACGCTAAAGTGCATTAATTGCAAGGTTTTTCTTTTGTCTGAAATGATTTTCTCTAAAAATGAAGAATCAACTGCCTCAGAAAACTATGTTTTGAGCACAAACAAGCAAAAAAAAACAAATTTGGCACTATTAACAATCAATTTTTATTACAGTTAACTCCATGGAAGTTTTCTGTTCACTTATCACCTTTTACTTAAGATTTCTGTCAACCTTAAATGAACGAAACGTTATTTTACCTTTTCTTATGCCTTTTTCTAAATTTATAAAACCAAGAAACCTGATGATCCTTGTCGTCGAAAAGGAGGCCTTGGCGATGACATTTCGATGACCAAAAACGAGGCCAATTGAAAGATTGAATTTTCAACCGATTCAAGCAAGGATCTTTGTGTTCCTTCCTCCTTTCCTCGTTCTTAAATCGAGAACCAAGAGCCCCAAAGTCAATCCTATCAATAGCGATTGAATGGATGCTGGGACAACTGCTGTCTCTCTTTCTTTCACTTCTTTTGTCTTATTGTTGATTGGTTCCTCTTCTTCTCCTGCTTCGTTTATTTGTCTGAAAAAGAGTCGATTTAGGAAGTGATTGAATCACTTTTTGGAATAAGTTGAACAACTGATAGATAAGCTAGCTTTGCATGAGACCGAAAAGTTATCAGATCTCCGATTTGATATCAATCCTAAGTTTAAGCTCAAGTTAATTTAATTTAGAAATTCAAGTGGCTAATTGTTATTAGTTAAAGGGACAAGAAATATGCTTGAAAATTTGCTAGACTGATGCTTTCTAAACCAGTAAAACCTTCACCAGCATTCTGACTTTCTTTCTATAATAGATTCTTCCTTTCTATAAGGGTCTGGTAATATTTTCCTTGATCTATTATCTATCATATCTATTAGGATTTGATTACAGATTACAAATTACAATACTTTCAATTCTTACTAACAATACGAGTACTAGCTAGGAAACAATTTCCGAGCATTAGAATCTAAATTTTCAGTCTATTGAACAGCATCAAGCTTTTCAAAAGTGGTCATGGTAAGTTGAGAATTTCCCTTGGTAAATATTGGGTTGGTGAATTGAAAACTGCCGGCTATTGTCATATGTGACAGTTTGAGCACTTTCTTCAAAGGAAACCCATTTTGGTGTCAATGGAAAGGTTGTAGAGAATCAAAAATTAAGCTTATATCCAAATTTTCAGAACGATTCAAAAACTGGTTTTCAAGAAATGCCAAATTTACGAATTTTCACAAAACTTGCATTTTAAGCGAAACTACTAAGTGTGTCTTTTTGAAAATTTGGATATCAGCTTAATTTTTGATTCTATACAACTTTTCTAGTGCTCAAACTCAAACTGGTGAAAGTGCTCAAACTGGGACATCTCCAGTCCTCCATTTTTGAGTCTCACACTTGTCTCACACACAAACCAAAATCCTACTACGAAAGAGGAATCCGCAAATTGCCTGTAAAATGAGCAGAAATCGTCAATAATAATGGAAATTATTTGGAATGAATTTATGGTTTTATGTTGAATAAATCTTAGTTCAAAGTCCGGCAGTTTCAATTCACCAACCCAATAACTACAGGATGGCCAACAATTATAGCGCCGCACTCAATCTAATGTAATCAATCTAATCTAATCGATCTAATCTAATCGATTGATTTCTAAATCTATTTTTAGTTGTAGATCAATGTTCAAAAATATCAGATAGGCGAGTCCGAATTCAAAAAATCGACTCAAGTTGGCGCCGTTCCCTAAAGGATGGCCCACAATTAGCGCCGAACTTTAAAGGACCCGGATCGCCCAAAATTGAGTCAATCGTTTTGATTTTTTTGGAAATAAATCTTAAATATGTCTCCTAAAACAGTGCCCATTATCTAAACAATTCAAGCTTTCAACTTTTTAATATAACTTTCCAAAGTTTAGAGTCAATTTTCGCTCGGCACGCCTCTCATTTATGGAATTTTTGAGAAAGATCTTGTCAAAATCTTGTTGAGATTGGATTTATTATGTTTATGAACAAAATTTCAAATGCTTTACGCAGTTTAAGTGCAAGAATCCGTTCCGAATCCGAAGTCCGGCCGTTTCAATTCACCAACCCAATACGAACTTCTCTACTTCCTAAACTAGACTTCCTAAACTAGTTTATTTGGAAAACGAAAAAGCTAATTCAGAAAACTTTGCTAAACTTAAAAAAATAATTTTCAAACAATTTACTTACTTTTTTCGTAAAGATGTCCTCGCTAAGCCAAGTTTGGCCAAAGGACAGACAGTTGATTCGATGGGAATCGTTCGCTGAAAACAGCAAACGGTGGAAATTCAATACGAATAGAACAATAGAAGTCAAATCAATGGCAAAGAAAAAGATTTGTGTGAGAGAATGTGATCAGAGATTTTTTTCCACCCAAACGACATCAAAGTTTGAGTGGATAAACATTAAGACCCAACATCGGTCATCTCGCCTAAAGTACTCAAAAAAAGCCTTTACCCTCAGTTTTCCTCTATGAAATTGATCTGATCAGGTTTTCGGAGTGATAGAAAAGATAAAAACTAACAATTTTTACTATACCAAACAAGTATTGATTTTGAAAATGTCTTTGAAAAAATTTTGCCAAGACTCGAATCTAAAAACTGAATTTTTCAGCGATTTTTAAATAGAATTTGAATTCCTTTTAGTTTTACATTTATATTATTTATTGAATTTAATTAATTAACTAATGAATTATACAATTATACACAAACAAACTAATCTAAAATAGCAAAAAAACACAGTTTTGTCAGCATTTTTGCAAACTTTGGTTTATCTGACTGCTGACCTGCCCAATCTGACCTAGAAGTTCTAGAATTTGACAAATTTGGTCAGACAAATACCGTTAACATTCTAATAGAATAGCCAACTCTTCTATTTTTCAATGTTCTTCTAAATGTTCTTCTAAAATTCTTTTTCTTGCCCTAGCTACATACCCAAATCTTTAAGAGCTCAAAAATTGGTGTTTTTATTGGATTTTCATCCGGTTTTTGGCCTAATGAAGCTTTTTTAATCTATAACTATGATTTAAAGGTTTTGGAAGCTTTAAGAAGTTAAGCATTTTGCTATTTCGAGAATTGAAAAATGCAAAAAAGTGAAAATTTTCGTCTAAAGGGTCTTTCTATTGGAGAAGATTCTTTAATTCAAATAAAGACGGTACTTGAAATTACAATTTGAATACCATTACAACTTGCAATTACAATTTGAATACCAAAAGAGTAAATAAGAGAGCAATTGTAATCAGAAATGAATGAGAAAGCTAGAAACTATGGTTAGCTAACCAAAGCTAAAGTAAATCAAAACAAAGTCAATCAAAGCCGACCAAAGCCGACAAAAGCCAACAAAACAGTCAAAAGAAAAGAATTTCCAACTGGAAATTCCTCCTTTTCAATACAATGCAAGCTTTCCGAGTTTGAAAGTACGTTATTGACTATATGAAAACGTTTCGAACTAATTTCTATGTGGATTTTCAAAGAAACAAAGAAACTTTTGACATAAGCCAAGTTTGGCTTTTTCAGTTGTCTTCTACGGCTAATCAACTCTTGTAATAACTATCCCTAATTGTAATAATTATATCAATTCATTAGCTATAGATTTGGGTTAAGAATTCCCGCCACAATGACCGGAAGCTAAAACAAAATTGAGTTTCAAAAAGCGTTTCGAGCGTCGGCTCAGATATGAGTCTGCTCTGTTTCATTTCCCTTTGCCCAAAGATTTCTTTTCTTTTCTGTCTACTTGGATCTTTATGCAGCGAGGTTTTCCCTTCACAGCCCGAGTCTTACACAACAAACGGCCCTTCCCATGCACATCCACTTTTCCCCTTTCTCAATGCTCAATGATTTGAGGCTTTCCTCTTGTCTTTGTCGACTTTTGGGCGAGTAAAATCTAGTGAAAGATAATAAAAGGAATATTTTGAAGAAAAAGCAAGAAAAACATTGCCGTAAATTCTCTAATAGAACGTGACTCCCATAATGGGCGTATAATAGCGTAGTCTAACTTTGAATATCCCGTTCTCCGCGCTATTTTATGCTACAGTGTGCGTTAGGGTGTCAAATGATAGCCCTTGAAATCTAGTTTTCTAGTAATTTAGTTTATTTGGTACCAAAAGTGTAGTTGGGAAAATCTAGGGGCTGAGAAAAGACTGATTGTTAGGCAATGGTTTTAGACATCAATAATTGATTTTTCACAAACTAACGTTATGATTTCCAGAAAGTAGAGGAAATTTGGCCAGAAGTTGACTGACCTGAAAAACAGTTGTCTATCTAGTTTTCGAAATTTTCGCGCTTCAAATTTAATTTTCACTTTTTCTTTGAGTTTTTTCAATTTAAAAACCGTTTTATCGAAATTTTTGCATTAAAAAACTGTTTAAACAGTTTTGTAGCCTGAAATTTTTAAAAGCCATGATTTCTTGGTTGGAAATTGATTGGGAGTCACCTCAAGAGCTCGGGCCTTTAGACTGAAAATCGCGAAATTCTGGGTACACTCATGCCTGGAGTAAAGGGTACACCTTTGCCAAAAGAAGTGTAATGTAAAGGATAATGTAAAGTGTAATGTAAAGTGCAATATAAAGTTCTCTATTTATTCATTTCCAAAACGATTTCCCCGTTTCACAACCAGAAACGAGCGCGAGATTGTTGATACTAAATGTGTCTCTGAAATAATCTCCGTAATGGTGGATAGATTTGCTGAAAACATTGAAAGAAAACCTAAATTTGTCGAAATCGTAGACGATTCTGTCTAGATTAGCTGGATTACGGTATTTAAACTAATAGGTTGATGCATAAGTCTTTTCGTTTTTTTCGTACTTCTGTTAAAAAGTAACAAATTCACCAATTAATCTATAGTTTGCTCTATAAAAAAAGTGTTTTTTTGTTCAATTTCCATCTTTTTAAATCAATTTCGGTTCACTTTCAAGCAAATTCGAGAGTGAAAAACGCCTTTTTCGTAAAAATCTATAAAAAACTCTACGGAAAAATTGGCTGAATGGATTTCTCTGAAATTTTGGCGAAATATCAAACTTTTTTTTCTCTATCTTTTATCTATTGACACGAAGATAGGTTTTCTTTAGCTAAGGTGTCTAAACCGCATCATCGAGTTAGCCCTTTTTGACTACCCGACTTCATACTCTCAAGAAAATCCAGGCATTAAATATTTTTAAACCCGTTTTAATGTTATTTTGCAAAAATAATTGGTTTTTTTAATGAATTCAACCGTTTTTAAATTGGTTTTTTTTTTTGTTTAGAAAGGGGAAAGGGAAGGAAGGAAAAAAAAAATAAAAAAACAAAAAAAAAAAAGAGGA